CCCCCCCCCAACCCTTGCAGGGAGCTCCTGGAGCGGGAGGAGCAGCAGCGGAGGCTCTGGCGGGAGAAGGAGGCCCAGCTGCTCCGGGCCTTGGCTGACCGGCAGGCCCAGGTCCAGCAGCAGGAGGGGAAGCTGCAGGCCCTGGAGGAGGAGAGGAGGGTCCTCGCCAAGGTCGTCGGTGGCCCTGGCAGGCGGAGGGAGGCCCCCCTCCCCCCCGGAACCCCGGCTGAGCCCCCGTCCCCCCGCCCTCTCCCCGCAGCAGCTGCACTGCCAGGGCCAGAGCCAGAGGCTCTCGGAGCAGCTCTCCGCCCTGCAGCGGGAGAAGGAGGCCCTGTGCGAGGAGCAGAGGCAGGTCCTGAGGCAGGTGGACCTCTCCCTCAGGTGAGCCTCCGCTTGCCCGGGGGGGGGGGGCTGGGGGCTGGGCTGCTCCCCCCCAGGGCCGAGCCCCCTAAGTCCCCCCCCCCACACCCACACCCAGGAAACAGAGCGAGCGGCGCCTGCGGCACAAAGTCCAGCTGCGGCAGGTGAAGGAGAGGCTGCTCGGTGAGGTGAAGCTGCGTGACTCTCGCATCCGGCACCTGGAGAACGAGGTCCGGCTGTGCAAGAGCCAGGCCGAAAAGGTAGAGCCGGCCCCTCCTGGAGGGACCCCCCCAGCCCAGGTGGGCTGCCTTGAGCCTCACCTGCCGGAGCCCCCCCAGCCTCAACCCCCCCCCGGGGGAGCCCCTCTCAGCAGGGCGGCCTGACGAGCCAATTGGGGGTGCCGGCTTTTGCACCCAGGACCAGCTGCTGATCCAGCGGGTGACGAGCGAGAACGAGAGCCTCCTGCGAGAGAAGCGGAAGAGCCTGGAGCAGCTGCACAGCCTGGAGGAGGCCAAGCAGAGCCGTGGCCAGGCCCTCTGCACCCTCCAGAGCAGGTGGGAGAGGCCCCCCTCCCTCCCTCCTTCCTCCGGGGGGGACCCGGGGGTGGGGGGCCTCTCCTCTGGGGGGCCCAGGAGGGAAGGAAAAGGGGAGGGAGGGAGGGGAGTTTTGTGCAGGGGGGGCACCCTGAGCAGCTTCCCCCTCGTCCCCCCCCAGAGTGCAGCTTCTGGAGGGGGAGAACAGGCAGCTGCAGGACCGGGTCCTCCAGCTGAGCCTGCAGGTGGGCATCCTGGAACGGGCCCTGCGCACCATCCACGTCCACAGCCTGGAGGTAGGCCTCCCTCCCGCCTCCCCTGCGCGCGCAGGGGGCTGGTCCTGGGGTGGGGGGGCAGGGGGGGTGCAGCCAGGAGGAGGGATGGCGGGACTGCAGGTGTGGCCGAGGGTGCCTGGTTGACTCCTGCGCTCGTCTCTCCCCAGGAGCTGAAGAGCCTCGGCTTCCCCGACTGCCCACTGCAGAGGAAGCTCCTGCCCTTCCCCAGCCTCAGGTACAGCCCCAGGCGGCTGGGCCTGTGAAGGGGCAGGAGGCAGCGATGACGCCGGGCGCTCCCTTCCCCTGCAGCCGCAGCCGCAGCAGCCGGGGTGGCATCGCCGGCCCTCCTGAGACCCCCCCACCCCAGCCCCACTTTCCCCCTGGAGATCCCTGTCTTTGCAGGCTCCTCCTGCCTGTGGGCCACGCGAGGCAGGGAGGCAGAGAAATAAAAGCAGACGAGTCCTAAAGTCGGACATGGGGGAGAGTGAATCCTTGCGGAGGGCGGCCGAAGGGGAGCTGGCGCTCTGGGTGGGGGCAAACGGAGGGGTCTCTGCGAGGGCCTGAAGAGGGTCACTCGGGCCGCGGCTCTCCAAGGGGACCCAGCAAGCGAAGCAGAGCCTCCCTATCGAGGAGCAGTCTACCACCTTCGAAGAGCAGCAGCTGGCACCGCCTCGGGGCCTCCCTTCACAGCTGCTCCTAGCGCCTCTGAAGCCGAGAGGAAGCTGAAGCCCCCCCTTTGCCTTTCAGCTTCTCGGTCACCCGGCTCTCGGACCCCAGCAGACTCCGCCAAGCCATCAAGGATGGGCAGCCGGCGGAACCCGGGCAAAAGGCCCTGCTCTCCCCGCTGGCCTTCCAGACCCCCAGGATCGGCTGCGTGGACGTCCCCAGGAACCTGCCCGACTTCCGCGAGGACGAGCCCGGCCACCCCGTTGGCTGAAGGGCCCCGAAGCCTCTTCTCCGTCCTCGGCTGGGCTTCTCTCCCGCTGCCCCTGAGACGGAGGGGCCTCTTGGGAGAAAGAAGGGCGGAGGAGGGCGGGGAATGTCAAAAGTATTTTTTAAACAATAATTATTTGTTTCTACAACTGTGGCCCCCGAGTCCAGTTTGTGTCCTGGAGGGATTGAAAGGGAGGGAGGGAGGGAATGGAAGGAAGGAAGGAAGGAAAGGGAGAGGGAGGAAGGAAAGAAAAGGGGATAGTGGGAAGGGAGGGAGGGAAGGAAGAAAAGGGAGAGGGAGGAAAGAGGGAAGGGAGGGAAAGGAGGGCAGGATGGAGGGAAAGAAGGAAGGGTGGGATGGTGGGAAGGAAGAAAAGGGAGGGAGGGAGGAAGAAGGGAAGGGAGAAAGATGTCCAGAGACCCATCTGTTCTTGAGTGAGGCTTAAAGCATAATCCTTATTGGGAAATCGTGGCCATCAACGCCTTTTTTTAACTATTTGGAAATAAAATTTTGCAAAAGGAAAAATTCTGCACCATGTCCGCGGGGTCCAGCCGAACGAGCAGGTACATTGACTTCAGGCTATAAATCGACACTCTCGCTGAAGGAACTGCGCATGCGCTCCAGCGGAGCGGCACTTCGTGGGGAGGTCTTCGGCGCGCCTTTCCGCTTCCGGGTCGGAGGGGGTCGCCATGGCGGTGCTGGCTTCGAACCCCAACAACCCCGTGGTCTTCTTCGATGTCACCATCGGCGGGCAGGTAGGTCTCGGGCGGAGGGAGCGGGGCCGGGAGGGAGAACCAGGCTTCGGCCGCTGACGCCTCTGTCCCTCCGTAGGAGGTGGGCCGCATGAAGGTGGAGCTCTTCGCCGACGTGGTGCCCAAGACGGCCGAGAACTTCAGGTGAGGAAGCTGGCGGGAAGACGGGTGCCATAGAGAAGGGAGGCCAGAGCGGCAGCGCGCCACAGAGCGGCAATCCTAGAGCGCCGCTGGCTTTGACAGGTGGCTGGGGATAATAGGTGCAGGGCGATAAAGACAAAGGTCCCAGCGGAAAGGGATCCACAAGCCCTGCCCTGGTGGTGGAGGGAGCAGCCCTCACTCTGCTCTGAGATGTCCCTTTCCTGCGGAACTCCCCACCACTTTGTTGCCCATTGTCTTGATGACATAGACAGGTAGTCCTTGACTTACCACCTTTCGTTTAATGACCGTTCAGTTACTGAAAAAAGCCAGCAAGACACTGCCTTTCAAGCTTACGACCGTTGCAGCACCCCCGCAGTCGCACGATCAAAATCCAGGCGCTCGGTCAGGAGTTCTTGTTTATGACGGCCGCAGCATCCTGGGATCACATGATCCCCTTTTGCGGCCTCCTGGCAAGCAAAGCCAAGGGGAGGGGAAGCCGGAGTCCATGGATGTGCGGTTCAGTGAAACAACCGCAGTGCTTCATTGGACAACTGCGACAGGGAAGGTCATAAAGTGGGGGCAAAGTTCACTTGGCCACAAAGTTTGGGCTCAGTTATGACCATAAAATGGAGGACTCCCCGTATAGGAAGCCCAATTCCTTCTCTTCCCGATTGTAACTCCCTCCCAACCATCAGCCTCTCTGCGTCCCCGTTGAACCTGCAGCCTTTCCTTTGTCTTCTCTTTCCAGGCAATTTTGCACAGGTGAATTCAGGTAGGTTGATTCTGTTGATCTTTCAACCCCACCAAAATAAAAATGATTTGATTGAGCTGGAAGACTGGCAGCACAGCCTAACAATGCCTAACTTTATATTTTATACTTTGGGTATTTATTTAGCCAAGTGTGGTTAGATACACGAGGAATTAGTGTCTCCGGCACAAAAGCACTTAGTGTTCTTGCGAAACAACAGAATAGAATTATAATAGCAACATGATATTATACAGCCAATAAAAGGTGGAAGGAAAACATAATAAAAGGGGTAAATAAAAATCATAATAGGCTTGTGAAGGAAATTGCTGGCCCCCTCTGTCATTTTGTCCTTGGACCACACTTCTGTCCGAGCAGATCAGCCAATTTGAAACAGCTCAACTGGTGATTGACACCGTGATTTCAGAAGAAAACAATGAGGAATGACAGGTTATGAGTTGGGGTATATTGTCTCTTTGAACCCAGAGAAATCTCGGTCACCGGCTATTGTGGCACCTGCCAATTTCTGACTCTGCTTTTTTTTCTCTTGTAGGAAAGACGGTGTTCCCATCGGTTACAAAGGCAGCACTTTTCACAGGTACGTTAGCTTTTGGGCTCCGGAAAGCTAGTTTTCACACACACACCCCAGGCCCCCACATCTGGGGCTGAAGGAGATGGTGCTTTAAATGCATTTGAATTACTTTCTAAACCTGTCAGCCACCCATCTAGTGTGGCCTTTAAGCTAAGCTGTGCAGTATTTGAAACCGAGTCCCATCCAGAATTGCTTCAACGGGCATATTCACTTAGCAGTGTTTAACGGAGGAGAGTCGTGCTCGGTTACGCAAGACGGGAACTACAATTCCCAGAATCGCCCAATCGGTGGGGTTCCTAAGCACTAGGATCTCTAGGCCTTTCATGAAGGAATCTGTTTTAGAGGCGATAAGAATCAATTCAGCATCCCCGTTGAGTTGTTCACCATTTCGCTGGCTTTCCTGCTCATTGCTGGGCGATGGAGATGGTCCTTTGAGGGCAACTCGTATGGTTAATTTCTAATCCTTCATACAGCACATTAAAAATGCAAGAAGTTCCCACTAATGAATGAAACTTGGGAGGAGTCCTTTAAACCCTCGATTTGTTTCTCTGCGTGGCTGTAATGCCTCCCAGGTCTCTTCCAACTTGGTTATTCCGTTACGCCGAGGTGCTTCACTTCAGTGGAAAAGAATCCCGTTCCAGAGTTTTACAACCTGTTTCTGAACTTCCCAAACTGGTGTGTTTTAGGCGTCGCTGTTGGATACCTCGGCCTCATATTTCTCTCTTCCTTTTCAAGGGTCATAAAGGACTTCATGATCCAAGGGGGTGATTTTGTAAACGTAGGTACTTCAAAGCTCTTTGAAGGGAAAGTGGGCATTTGACTTGGAACTGGAGCTTTGCAACTTGAATGTGAATTTGCCAAATTTATGCAGATGAGATTGGAAGTTATGCCAAGGTACTGGATGTGCATGCCTAAAAACCGGAGCTCAATTTATCAGGAAAACTGAAATGTTCAGACTAAACCTTTGCTGGGAGGAAGTGGTTGCTCTAAACTTCTCCTTTCCTTGATTCTGTTTAACTTCCACATTGCGGAAGGGGAGACAGTTGCAAAGTGAACTCCATCCCCCTGAGGTTTCCTGGCAAGATGCTGGGGCTCCCTCTCAAAAGCTTTTTATATCTGTTCGCCAAGGGAACTGCCCCAGGGTTCATGCGTCCTTCCTCCCCTCTCCCCCTTCCCTTCCTTCGCCTTCTTTCTTCATCATCCTTTCCTCCCTCCGTCTTTTTCTCTCAATAGGGAGATGGCACCGGAGTGGCCAGCATCTATCGGGGACCCTTTGCAGACGAGAACTTTAAACTGAAACACTCGGCACCTGGCTTGCTCTCCATGGTAAACACAGATGCGTATTGGGGAGGGCATGCTTAGGAGAGCTCAGTGAGTGATCAAATCTAGGAATATATTTCTGCCTTCCTCCCCTCCGTGATAGATTTGGGGCGGGGGTCCCTCCTGTGGCCTTGACACTTTCCCATCAACAAAAGGAGCTGCAGCCAGGAGGCCCCTTCAAGGCCAGGCCCTCCCCCCAGCTGTGTACCGGGAAAAGCGGGGACCCAGAGCATTTCCCTTCCTCTTGGGCTAGCCCCAAAGTTGAGGGTGACTGAGTTTCCTGATTGTTCATCTGCACTGGTGCCTGGGAGGAAAGGGTTAACCCCAGACCCTTTCCCTCTCCTCCTCGTAGCCACTTGGATCAGGCTGCTGGGTTGCTATTTATAGGAGCTGCTGCTCCAGCCTTGCTCGGTTTTGGCAGACAAGCAGCGGCTAGTTCAGAAGGGCTGGAGGGGTGGGGGGTCCAGCAGGAAGACCACCACCCCTTTTCAATGCCCAGGTCCTGCATAGAACCCAATGCAGTGTTGAATTGGAGACCCTCCGAATGAAGACACTTTTGAACTCTCTCCCTGCAATGGCCCGGGAGGGCCGCGTTTGATCGGTGACCGGGCCAGGGTTGACCACAGATCATTCTCCTCACCTGCCCCGCCCCCCTTTCTCTGCAGGCCAATAGCGGTCCCAGCACCAACGGCTGCCAGTTCTTCATCACCTGCTCCAAGTGCGACTGGCTGGATGGGAAACACGTGGTTTTTGGTGAGTAACCGCCGGCTGGCTGGTGATCAATGAGCCCTGGTGTACCCTACCACCCTGTTAGCTCGGGCGTGCTATCCTGATCCTTACGCCCGCCTGAAATTCGTGGCAGATCTGCCCTGGGAAATTTCCGTTTTCTGCACTTCCCAAAATGCTTGCTCTGGGTCTCCCACCCCACCTTCCTGCCTCAGGACCCGCAACAGGTTAAGGGAGCAGCGTGGGGAGTTCTGGGACTCGGAGCCCACAAGTCTTAAAATCCCCCCCCTCCCGCCTCTCTGCTTCCTTCTCATTCTCCCCTTCAAAGGTTAAAGAGTACACCTGCAAGGCTCTTTCTTGGCTAAGGAATTCAGAAATGCTTGTTCTTTTCTTCTCCCCTGGCAGGTAAAATAATTGACGGGCTTCTAGTCATGAGGAAAATTGAGGTAAGCCGTGCTTGTCCCTGGTTTTGGGATGAAACTCTGCCATCCAAGAAACCACAGAAAAACGAGGCGGTTTCGCTTTCTAGAGGAAACATTATTTTAATTTGCTGTTCCGGCCCGAGGCTTCTCAGACTCTCCTATCCTGCCCTTCGGGATTCAAATCCTGCCCAGGCAGCTCAGGAGAGCAACAGGTGGTGCGGAGCCCCTGGTGGTGTCACCTGGCAGCCTTCCTTTCTGCTGGCTGTTTCTGCCCAAGAAAGCGACAGAACCCGAATGTCGGGCCCTGGGTGCTCTCCGAGCCTGGTGGTTTTTCTTGCAGACGT